TACATAATTACAAATATAAAAGTTGATGTTTGAGAGACCCTCAGTAACTCCCTATAACCTTCACGATAATGTCCAAAAACTTGTAAGACACTGAAGGCTTTCAAGATCTGATCCTTCCCTACCTCCTGTCCTCTTCAACATGATACTTCAGCCTTCTGAAGAAACCACAGTTTTTCATATGTTATTTCCTTTGCTTGGAGAATAATTCTGCTTCATTTCCATTACCCCATGCTATTTGAACTTCAGTATTCTGCTGAAGGAAAGTACTGATCCTCCAAGCTTTCCCCTCCCCTCCTCCAAGTTACAGAGCTCTTCCCTCTGTGTTCCTTTAGTGCCCTCTACTGTAAGTTACTTACATAGTTTTCTAAAAGCCTATGTTACTAGATACTGTCACAGTGGTTTTCATATCTATCTCTCACACTAGACTGTATATTTAGAGTCTAGTTCTTTAACAAGCATGCAGTTGCAATATTTATCAAATGTATTCTCTGAAAAGGTAAAAGTTTTTGTTTATTTAATGTTCTTTGGGACCTTCAGCACCTATTGAAGTGCCGAATTGTAGGCACTCAATACATATTTAGTGAATGGATGAATAAATGTATGAATGAGTGAGTGAATAATCAAGTAACTAAGCATGAATAAGTGATTAAATCCAAAGAAATTTATTTCCTTTTCCAGGTTTCCAGTACACTAAATATGGATGCCGTAGGAAAAGTGATAATAAAATGGTCCATCGCAGCTTCTGTGAGGCCAACAAAAAGCCGAAACCTATTAGACGAATGTGCAATATTCAAGAGTGTACACATCCGCTGTAAGCATTTATTTTAACTATCGTATCTGTAGGTCAAAATCAGGACTTCACTGCCTTTAGCTCTTTTTAGTTTTGATTTTATTTTCGGTCAAAGCTCTATATATACATGGTTTAAATAGTCAAGTTACTTCACAGGAATTATATAAAGCTGCAGTTCTGTGCCTTTCACCACATTCTTGTTCCTCAAAAACAACCACTTTCAACTGTTATATTTATTTTGATATTTGGTAATTACTTGTTTCCTTCTGTCTAAGTCAAATGTTTTTCCTTCTACTCCTTGACTTTTTTGGGAGGTAGGTTAGACATTATACATTGAATTTTCACTGTGAAATGTGAAGATTGTGTTATTTTATGACCACTCTGCAAATGCACACCCAGAGGCCACACTTTCTCCTTCCCTGCTACTCCCATTGCTGACCTAACATACCTTTTACTGATCGCAATATTCAGGGTTTATATTAACATGTATCTCTCTTAATACCTGAGTCACATAGCATGCACATTATTATGGTTTCTTTCTTGTAATGCTTCTTCCGGAATAAGTGCATATTTTGATTTTATGTATTTGATCTTCTACTACTTTTCTGTAATTCATTCCCAAACTCTCTTTCTCAGTATCAATCCCCTCAAAATACTAAACATCCAAGTATCCTGTCACTGTAATCTCCATAGAAACAGAAGCATCTTAGAGAACAGAGTTCTCTGTGTTCCAACTCCAGCTTGGACTTTTTAGCAGCTTTCATCCTAGGGTTTCCTTTCATCATCCTCCTTAGAATTCCTACTACCTTTCTCTTCTGTGGGATTTCCTGTTATTCCAAACTATATATCATCCCTAAGACTCAAAAATATTGTTCTATTATTATCTACACTCAAGTGTTGCTGTTGAAAAGTTGGTTGCCATTCTGATTCTCAGTTCTTTCTCTATGACCTGTTTTGGTCTCTATGTCGTTCAGAGTTTGTAGGACCGTCATTTTATTCCTAGTGTCCTGAAATCCCAGTGATGAAATTGACTTGGTGCTCATTTTTACTCATCATTGTGCTGTGTACTTGTAGAGATTTTTGATTGAAAAATAAAAAATGTATGTTTTTATGGGGTACAGTGTAATGTTTTGATGGATGCATACATTGTGGAATGATTAAATTCAGCTAATTAACCAATCTATCACATCACATACTTATCATTTTTCATGGTGCACACATTTAAAATCTGCTCTCCTAGCAATTTTGAAATATCCATTTCATAATTATTAACCATAGACATTATGCTGTTCAGTAGATCTCGAAAACATATTTCTTCTAACTGAAACTTTGTACCCCTTGACCAACATCTCTCCATTACTCCTTCACCCTCATCCAAGCCCCTGATCACCACCATTCTAGTCTCAACTTCTATGAGTTCCACTTTTATAAATTCCACATATGGAATCTAGAAAATAAGTGAAGGTCACATGGTATTTGTCTTTCTGTGTCCGATTCATTTCACTTAGCATAACTTCCTCCAGTTTCATCTATATTGTGGCAAATGACACAAACTTTTAAAAATATAAAATGGATATCTTTCATCTCTGGAAGATTTTCTCATATTTTTTTTAATTCTCCTGTGTTCTTCAGTGTTCTTTGTTTCTGGGACATTTGTAGCTCGGATTTTCTCTCCTATTGTTCATTGTTGCACTTGCTGAGCCTTTCATTTTTGCTCTCATATCATCAATATTCAAGAGCTCTAGGTATTTCTTTTTCAAGGCATTTGATTTTTATTTCACAGATGCAATATATTCTTTTATCTCTTCTGGAATATCAAGGATTCATTCCCTGTTTCTAAATAATTTATTCTGAGTTCTTTTCTTCCATTTCTCCACACCCACTCCACCTCCATCATTTACGTTAGAAGATTTCCATGTGGTAATCCTGGGATGTTCATACGTGTATAAAAATGCAGGGTTTAGAATGCTGATTAGAAGTTTGCCTTATAGTCGTAGCTGGTGGGCTCAACTATAGGGTGATGTGACTCAGCCATTTTATTAAAAGGCCCTCAATTAATTGTATATTGAGGGCTTTTCTTATAAAATAGATTCCGTAGAGTAGAATCAATCTCTTCCTAGGGAGTGTAAGCCAGTTTAAGTGCTGTTCTGGAAATGTTATGTGTATAGGTGTCTAAAGCGATCTCACCACATCACAGATGGGTTTTTACATAATCTTCTGTTTTTACTATGGTTTCTTTCTCTCTTGATCGTGCCTATTGTATCCAGCTAACTCTGGTTCACATTCTACAGAGGATAATAAATCTCATGTCTTCTGCATTGGAGGAGGGCAAATCACCCTGTATGGTTAAGAATCAGGGGGTCTAATTGCTTCCACACAGACTTTTCATTAGTTCTCCTGCTTTCGGTCTTGGCTTCACCCTTGTTTTCACAGCTCACACTGTATCTAAGGCCTCTAATCCCTAAATGTTTCTAAAGTTCTACAGTGCAAGTCAGTTTGCTCATCACCTTATACTGCTGAATTGGACTTCATTCTTCCTAATCTGCTGAGTTAGTTTCCATATGTCCATCTGTTTTCTAGTTTCCTAAATTGTGTTGTTGTGACTTCCTCTCAAATTTCTTTGTCTTTCTAGATTTATAACAAATTTTTGTCATTTACTTTCATTCTGAGATCTTAGGAGGGAATGGAGGTAATCAGAAGTACCTGTATCTGTGAAGTATATTGGTCTTCAAAAGAGACTCATCATTGAGGTCTTCAAAATTGAGCAAAATTCCTCAGTCCAGTTGTCGTGATACATTTTACCACCAGTTTGACAAGCTAAAGCAGTCTTAAACTGTGAATACCAAAGATTGCCAAGGTTTTAGCATGGCTATATTTTGGTGTCTCTTATATATGGAGAGAAAAAAAAATGCAGAGGGAAAGTAACTTTGGAAAAGGCAAAGTTAATTTTAGCCTGAATTACATACAGACAGATTGCATAACCAGATGGAATCAATGGTGACAGCCCTTAGGGACTTGGTAACCATGTGTACTGGAGAACCGTGTGTAACGTCGTATCCACAGCTGATTTGGAAAGTGCTTGGGACACTGACACTAGAATCTGGGAATGTCCCCTGGTAAATATTTTGGAAAATGCCTCTGGAAATACTGCTATCAGGTGCATTTGTGTGAACAGTTTTTACCCAGCCCCAATGCATACCACCCTTACCTCTTGTCAGGCCCAGTAAGGGTTAATAAGAAGAACTGCATTATCCAAATGATATAGATATGTCAAGTAGCCTTCATAGCAACAACTGTAGAAATGAAACTGTCATATCAGTTAAAATATGTAAACATCAGTGAACTCTCTAGATTTTATAAAAATGTGCCCTCTTCCAACCCAGAAGAAGACATGAGGTTTACCCTCTGTAGAATGTGAACCAGACTTTTAACTGTGTATAATAGACATGATCAAGAGAGAAGGAAACCATACTGAAAACAGAAGGTTATGTAAGCAAATCGTAAGTGTGTCTTAGCAAGCATTAGATAGATTCTGTTTTAAAAATTCACTGTCAGATGTTTAACACTGTTAGGAAATATGACTGAGAGTGAGTTGGTGCTATCCTTGAAAACTGCCTTCATGCCTGAATCTAATAGGGCAACTTTAAGATAAGTTTCAGAAACCCTCTGTAGATCATCCTTTTAGGAAAAGAGAAGGTTTCAGAGTCACTGAGAGGCAGAAAACAAAAAAATAGCAGGGCATTAAAAGTTTCAACCTGCTATTACTAAAAAGTGATCCATGATATCCATCTTTCTGAAACCACTTCCTGAACTGCAGTGTGCCCACTAGTTTGCAAGTCACTCAGAGAGCAGAAAAGTCTAGGCTTTGCGGGTGGGAATGTGTACACTATACATACCAGTGATAATTTCAGTGTTAAACCCCTGCACCCACAGCTGGGTAGCAGAAGAATGGGAACACTGCACCAAAACCTGTGGAAGTTCTGGCTATCAACTTCGTACTGTACGCTGCCTTCAGCCACTCCATGATGGCACCAACCGCTCTGTGCACAGCAAGTACTGCATGGGTGACCGTCCCGAGAGCCGCCGGCCCTGTAACAGAGTGCCCTGCCCAGCGCAGTGGAAAACAGGACCCTGGAGTGAGGTAGGTGTGTGAATTCTGAGCATGCATATGTAAAGTGTGTGTGTAAGCATGTGTAGATATTTTAATTTGGCTTAAACATCAGTTAGGCTTTGTGTGAACTGAGAAACTACTGCATATTTTGTAATTACCTGGAGCTGTTAGGAAAAATTAATGCTTTAAAACAGTACCTGCACTTACGTTTAGTTGGTAGGGGCAAACCATGTTTATGTGTTTCGTAACATAGAGAAGAAGTCTGATAGATGACTGTTCTTTTGTCCAATATTTTTGTTGACTTCCCTGTTCCTTCAGGATAAATTCCAAACCCCTGATACTGAATGCAGGGCCCAGTACCATTTGGCACCGCACTAACTCCTTTTATTCTTTCTTCATTCCAACTCTTTGTCCTAGTTCGAGTAAACTTCCCACTGTTCCAAACAGACCATGTTTGTTTGAGCCTCCTACCTTTCAGCTGACTTGATAATCTCTCCTTCTCCACCAAAGCTCATCTCCGTAGTCCCAATGACCACCTTCCAGGTGGTACCTTTCCTGGCAGTTCCTCCTCTACATCTGAAAGGCAGTGCAACTTAACTTTACCATGCTGTTCATGACAGAGTATTATAACTCTGATTCTTGAATCTGTATTTGCCACTAGTACACATATTTCTCAAAAATAGTGTGTCTGGTTTCCTCAGTACTCAGCTAGTGCTTAGCATACCTGTCCGGATGATGTTTGTTTATTAATTGGCTGACTCCATGTTGCACTGTCAGCTATTACCACCTGTCTTAGATATTTCTAAAGACTCAAAATAAGAAATCTTGGGGTCATAGGAGAATCGTTTATAGGAGGAAAGGGCATCAAAAATCAGACAGAAAACTAATGAGGAAGTGGAGAGTAAGCCCAGAAAGGAAGAAACAAGCAAGTTGTCTTATCTATTTCTTGCTGCTTTAACAGAATACCACAGATTGGGTAATTTATAAAGAACAAAAGTTTATTTGGCATATGGTTCTGGAGGCTGCAAAGTCCAACGGTATGGCACTGGCATCTGAAGAGGGTCTTCCTGTAGCTGAAGGCATCACATGGCAAGGAAGCATACAAGAGAAACACAGAAGATCCTTCTGTTAGGAGCCCATTCCTGCAATAACTAACCCATTCTCAAGATAATAGCATTAATCAATGCCCATAAATCACCTCTGAGAGGTCCTACCTCTTACAGGTCCCTCTCAACATTGTTACAGTGGCAGTTAAATTTCAACCTAAGTTTGGAGAGGACATTCAAACCATAGTACAAGTACAGGTCACCCACATAGGACCATAATGCTAACTCATATCAAAGTCTCAGTAGAAGTCCCTCCTCCATAGCACCTTCCTAGGGCCATTGCATGGAAGTTTCTGAGCTTAGTTTTGGAGCAGTAAAGGTTTTCATTAGAGAAAAGAACTTAAGAACATGGAATAATAGTAGTTCCAAGGACGTTGAATTAACCATCCGAGGCAACTTATCAGTAAATTCTGCCATCTGTAAGAAAGAGGTGGGGACTTTCAGTACCATGATTGGGTCCCTGAGAACAGACATCATCAACATTGTTTTTAGAAACTACAGCAGATGTTAACATTGTTATTAATCATGGCTTCTTTTGTAGGGAATGCTTACTAGGTACCAGGCATTTTGCTATTGCTTTATGCACATTGTTTCCTTTGCCTTCATTTAGTCCTAAAACAATCTTATAAGGCGGGTATCATTATCCCAGCTTTCCACCAGATAAGGAAGGTGAATCTTATATAGAAAAAACAATGTGCCCAGGCCAGTAAATAATGGAGTCAGAATATAAACTCAGTAGTATCTATCTTCAAAACCACTGTGCAGCATCACTTAATAGAGAACGAACTCTAGATCTGTGTGTCTGTGTGTGTGTGTGTATGTGCATGATCTTGGTGGAATAAATGTCTGTAACCACAGCCTTTGTCTCTGCAGTGTTCAGTGACCTGCGGTGAAGGAACGGAGGTGAGGCAGGTCCTCTGCAGGGCTGGGGACCACTGTGATGGTGAAAAGCCTGAGTCAGTCAGAGCCTGTCAACTGCCTCCTTGTAATGGTAGGTGTCACACCAATTGACTTCACTGCTCTGATGTTTTTAAACCTCGAAAAGCAGAATTTCCTTTTGAGAGAAGTTACAGAATTTATATTCGTTTACTGATAAATAACCAAAGGAAAACACCTGTGAAATATTAGTCCAATTCAGTTCTTTAAGATCAGCATTTGAGGCAATGTCCTACACTTTTTAATTATCATGACCACTGTCGCCCTGCCATTTCTGGCTGGTGACGTTGGGGTGAGGGCTGTGCTATGTATATGTAATGTCTATCAACTTGTGTTGCTCGTAGGAACTACTTAATTTTTCCTTGTTATATTTAACTATAACTTCACATCTTTATTAAAAGGCATAATTTTGCAACGGTTTTGAAATATTTTACTAAAATTATTCAATTTTGATGTGTGGGTAATGTCACTCAACTCTAAAACCATTTCCAATAACCGTCTATCCACAGAGTAACTTCAAACAGACACGTTGCTCATAGGATAAAATTAAGCGTTTGCCTCACCTACCAACTTGCTGTATGGCAAAAGCAGGGTTTATTGTCTTTATTTAGTCAATTTGCTATTTTAAAACAGCAAAATGGGGCCAGGTACGGTGGCTCATGCCTGTAATCCCAGCACTTTGGGAGGCTAAGGTGGGTGAATCACCTGAGGTCAGTTCAAGACCAGCCTGACCAACATGGTAAAACACTGTCTCTACTAAAAATACAAAAATTAGCTGGGCGTAGAGGAGCATGCCTGTAATTTCAGCTACTTGGGAGGCAGAGGCAGGAGAATCACTTGAACCCAGGAGACAGAGGTTGCAGGGAGCC